CCAGTAATTTTGCTTCAAATGTTTTTTTTTTTTATATTTTTTATAACAAATAGTTTCTTAAGTTTTTTCTGCTCAAGAGTTTTTTTTTTTTTTTTTTTTTCTATCACCTTTTTACACGCTAACAATATTAATTATTAATAATAATTTATAAAATTTACTTATAGTAGATAATAAAAATTTAATAATATTTGTAAAATTAAAAATTTAATTTAAATTCTTTTATTATAACATTATTTAAGTTTTAAAAATTTTATAAATTTATAAAAAAAAATATACAGTATATAGTAATTAAAAATATGTTTCAAATTATTGACAAAAATATATGTAATTTAATTATTTTTTATTATTAAAAAAAAATTTTTTAAAAAAACTACTTATAAAGATTTTTTGTAATTTAGACCAATTAATTTAAATATTTTTTGAATTATATCTTTATTAAAATAATGAACAAATAATTATATTTATTCAAAAAAAACATAATTAATTTATAAAATTTTATATATTAAATAATTCGAAAATTTATTTTTAACAGCAATTCAAAAATTTATAAATATTAAATTATTAAAATTAGTGATTTTGAAAAATATTAAAGATAAAAAATTAAATAATAATAATAATTTTTTTCTTTATTTATTTTTTTTTTAATATTAAAGTGCGGTATTACTTATAATCTTTATTAATAAAGTAAAAGTTTAACTTATTATATGATTAATATTAAAATATGAATTATATTATTATAGATATTATCCTATCACCTAGTAAACAAATATATCATTTGAAAAACTCTTGAGCAGAAAAAACTTAAGAAACTATTTGTTATAAAAAATATAAAATAAAAAAACATTTGAAGCAAGATCACTGGCATTGTAAAATATTTGAATAAGAGAAAAAATGAAAAAAAATAAAACTTTTGTTAAATGTGATTCCTAAATACAATTAGATATTTTAGTTAGGTATTGATACCATGCAAGCCATATATAATTCAATGGGTTTGGTCATATGATGTTTTGTAATGTTATTGTTATATGATATAATTGTGTTATGATATAAATAATAGAATAACTGAAATATATTTCAGATGTTTATTATGTATTTTGATGAGATGTTGTATATTGTAATTACTGGAATCCACATAGAATATTGATTACATACTTTTCCAATCCAGTAAGTTGTTATATTGTTTTGGTGTGTGAAAATAGTACAGAGTATAATTAGTATTTTATGTGATGTAAATCATTTGATAGGATAAGCTAATTGTGGTTTTTGTGTTGAGATTTGTGAGCAAGAACTAGTAACTAGCCAGAAGATTATGTAAAATTTAACACTAGTTATCGTTAGCAGAAAACAAAAAAACTCTAAAAAAATAAAATGCTATCTCTTAAGAATAAAATTGTTTTTAATTAAGAATAAGAGATATGATTGTTTTGTAGCAGTTATATATAGAAATAGCCTTCATATAGAAAATTTTCTTTTTGTTTGTCTTCTTTGTTCCAAGTTATTGCCCAGTATCATTACTAGTCACTAGATCTTTTAGTGTGGGCCATTGTTAAAACTCCAGGGATCAATCTTATCCTTGAAATCCCTACTGCTTTAAATTAGTTCTCTGGTTTATATCACCTCCCTAAAGAACATATTCTATTAGATAAAGTTTCTTGAAAGAAAGAAGCTTTCTAAAAAGGCGATTTTTTATGGATGGAGATGTTATAGAAAAGAGTTTTTTTTATTTTTTTTATTTTTTCTATTTATTTCAAATTAAATTAAACTTAAACTATTTATACTATAATTAATCTTTTTAATAAAACTATTTTTAATTATAATATAATATATTAAATATTATATTTCATATAATAAAAAATTTAAAAAATATAAAATTTCTTAATGAACAACATTATATATAACAAAAACCAAATCAAAAGCATTATTAAAACCAAAGTAATTATTAATATCAAAACCTATAAACTTAGTAACTCAATTAAATTTGTCAATTTGTCAATTTAAATACTCAAATCTTATAAAAATATAAAGTATTTGAACATGTTTATTTCTTTTAAAAAGTTATTTAAATCTAACAGAAAAGTTCTTAATTAAACTGTTAATACAATTTTAAAAAACTATTTAAATATAATTGAAAAAATAAGATCAAACTACAAATTTGTAAGTAGATAATTATAAACAAGTTCAAATACTTTTTTTTTCTATTCTATCTTAACAAATTCATACTTAATCTATTTTAAATTAAAATTAACAAACTTATCAAATTAGTCTATAGAATAATATTAAAATGTTTAAATATAATCCTTATCAGTTACAATAGTTTTAATATTATTTTCTTTAAAAAAAAGCAATGATTCTTATTAATCAATAATTTAATATCTAAACTCTTTATGTCAGAAACAAGAAAATATATATTTCAAGATTTTTAATTAATCCAAAAAATGAATTAATCTTGTTTTATCTAATTTTCAATCTCAAAAAATTTAATTGAAATAATTAAATTTTATATATAATTAAAATTACAAAATTCAAATATATTTATTCAACTGTTTAACATATTTTAGCAATATTGAAAACTTTATCAGTTTTCTGTTCAAAGATCTATAATCCTTAAAAAAAATTATAATAATTAACATATCAAATTTATTAATCAATTTTTAAAATTTAACAATAATAAAAAATTCTTATGATTTCAACTTATATCATATATAGGTATAATACAATATAGATTTAAGCTTAATTGATTTAAGAACTTCAACAATTTGAACAATTTACTCAAAACTTATAATCTAGTACCCAATCTCAAATCATTATTTTAACACTTACACAACTTTAACTATATTATCAAAACATATAAAAGGTATCATAATATATATAAAAAAACTAATTTTAAATGAAGATACTATTCTATTAACTTAAATAATAACTTGCTCAAATGTAATAATTGTTTATTAAAAGTTCTTTTTGCAGATTTCTATACAATGTTTTTTATAAGTATCTTGACTTCTTCTATTTAGATCATTTCTAACTCTAATAATTTAATCAAATATTACTTATGCAACATTATTAATAAAATATCCACTATATTAATATAGAAAAAGTATTCTAGACCTGTAGATTCATAATATAGTGGTTAACACTTCACAGGTCAAATTACAAGATACCAGTTCAATCCTATGTAAAGGTGGTTAAATAGAATTAATATAGTATTTGGCACTATAACCTGTAAAAGTGTTATTTCTTATAAGAAGCTATTTTACACATTGATTCAGTAGGTGTTAAAATTGTAATTTTCAAAAAAGATATTGTAGCACAACAATTATCCAGTTGGTATTATAATGATCACTAGAAGTTGTAAGGTATATAAGATATTCACTTTTAACAAATAGGTTTAGTGATTCTTCCCTTAATATCTGATATCTTTCATGCAGATTCCTGTCCTAGTCTCAACCCAATCCAATAATAAACTGGTCTGGTAGTACTTATTCCAAGAAGGCTTCTGGCTATAAGTCCTGTTCCTTGCAATATGTAAGTCGATATTTAGACAGTAAATACCAGTTATAAGTATCTTGAACGTTTTTGAGTATTATTGAACAAGTAAGAAATTAAATGGTTAGTCTAACTGCAGATGGGATAAAGAGATTTATTTTCAATAAAGCAAGTAAAAATTATGTAGCTTTATTTGCTATAGGTATTACCCTTAGTACTTCTTTTCAACCTTTTCCTTAATTTCTCCCCAGTTAAAAATAAAGCTTAATTACTAGTGAAAATATATACTATTGGGTAAACAAAAAAATATCTTTGTTCAATGATTAGCCTTTATATCTAATATAGTTAGGAATAAGCTATAGCAAATATTATTATTTGGAGCAATTCTGATAAGTATTGAATGTAATTGACAACCAATCCAATACATTATAGCATAGTTCTAGATAATAATATCTAAAGATATATATAAATATCATTATGAGAAATAAATATCTAGCCAGACAATTATTGCTAGTGCAAAAAAAAAAAAAATAGAAAAGTATGCTTTAATTTATTAACAACTTCTTTATTTCTTTTTATATTTCAATACTTCAAATAATTGACTTTTGCCAACAATATTATTTTCAACTTTATTAAAGCAAGATCTTTACAAATAATATAATAATTAATTCAATCAGTTCAGAATATTTTCTAAATAACTTAGTCCAATAGGACTATAGCACATTGGTAAACTTATTGCAACATATCTATATGTATATGTTTTTATGTATTGTTTGCTTCTATGTTAGGCTTACTACATGAAAGATAACAGGAAGAATTGGCAGGAGATGATCGATTATGTTGAAAAATGCACGTGGGCAAGAGATAAAAAATTCAGAGTGGACGAGAACTTGATCTTCTGCGAGTCGTATCTTCACAAGTCTGGTTCACAAAGATCGTTCTACAACAACCCACTTCAGTTCTGTATCTCAAAAGACTTTTTCAAGAAATCAGATTGTAAGGTTGGAAATATTATTGGATTCGTAACATTTGAGGAATACATTGTTGTCGCAGAGGTATGTGTTGAAATCATTGCTCGATCATTATTTTTTTTTTTTCACATTCAAAATTTTACTGTTCTTTGTAGCTGTTGCCCTCCGGTGACATTTTCAAATTACTGGTATATCAGTACTAGTATTACAGGTTCAATTCCAAGTGATGGTGACAGGCTATGAACCTATTTAAGTAAGTCATATCATTGATTAACTATATGCTATATATAATGTGAGTAATATTGCATGCCTAGTAATTCCAGTTGATATCTCAATAATCTGGTAGGGACTTATTTAGTGAAATACTAGTCTGTAAGGTAATGTACTTTGCTTGATTCCAAGTTTAGTATGGAATGTAGAAGATAAATTAACAACTGTTACTAAAGTGTCACATGCATTATAAAAATACTTACTGGTTGGTCTAGACAAAAAATAAAAATCCTGCCTAGACTTTGGAGACAATATGTAGAGCTAGTAAGTATTAGTTGCTTGACTATCAGATATACAGTATATAATATATAATAACCATAACTGGAAATTAATCCTTCTCAAATTTTTATTTCAGTGAAGCTATAACACATTGGTAAATCACTAATATATTAGTGCTAGTGTTACAGGTTCAATTCCAAGTAATGGCAACAGGCTATAGACCTATTCCAGTAAGTCATGTTATTGATTAACTGTATGCTACATATGATATAAGTAATATTGCGTACCTGGTAATTCCAGTTGACATCTTGATAACCTGGTAGGGGCTTGTTTAGTGAAATGCTAATTTGTAAGGTAATGTACTCTGCTTGATTCCAAGTTCAATGTGGAGTATAGAAAATAAATTGACAACCATTACTAAAGTATCATATGCATTATAAAAATACTTACTGGTTAGCCTAGGCAGGAAGTAAAAATCATATCTAGACTTTGGAGACAATGTGTAGAGCTAATAAGTATCAGTTGCCTGATTACCAGATATGCATAACATATAATAGTTATAACTAGAAATTAACACTTCTTAAATTTTAATATGCAATTTTTTTCACTGATTCTTTGATCAATACTCCAAAATAGCATTTAGACTAAAGCATGTCTTTACTTTTAACAAAACTCATACACTCTCCTTAATACAACTTAACAGATCTTAGCAAGATACTCTTATACTCTCCACTGTTTTATTTATTTCTTCAGCAAAGTAAAAACAAGAAGGTTTCTTAGTTTTTACTCACTTAAGCTCTGATGGCAAAAAAAAGTTTTTCAAAGAAGAAGACAATTTATTTGGTTTCCTTCTTCTTTTTACTATTATAATATCAGTATCTCTATTAAAAAGAATAACCTAAAAGGTTATTAAATATCTTGGTCTCCAGAAACCTTCACAATATAAGTATAGCTACTTTTCTAGTATGTTTTTAAAATTTTTTAATTTTTTTGAGAAATTTTGTCTACCTCAGTTTGACTCTAAATTTTTGATTATATCAGATCTGCTGGGTTTCTATTAGTTGAAAATCTGTATTGAACAACAATAAACAAGTAACAGATAAACAAAACAAGAACATATTTCTATTTGTATTATATAACTTTAATGATGTCATTGTTTCAAACAGAAAGAGCAAGGTGATAAGATGTCCATTTTAATATAGTTAAGTTTGCATGTATATTCTCTTTTACTTTTTCCTTCTCTTTTCTTTTTCCTTTATTCTCTTCCATATATATAAATACAAACAAGATGAACAGAATGTTTTTTCCCATAGGGTTTTTTAATTCTGATCCATAGTTTGTAGAGGACCACAAACTGTAAACCACTCAGCAAGACCTTTAACATGACACCTTCTGTCAAAAAAGCTACTAAGCTCATTAGCAATATCTACCATTCTTACCTCTAGTGAAGATACTTAGTTGATAACATTTGCCAGAATGAAAGATTCCTCTCAAGATATAGCCTAACTTTAGAAGAGTTGTGTCTTTTTAAATAAGCAGCCTATGTTTGAAGTAAGGCATTATCTAAAGGACTAAATTGTCAATCCTGCCATAGGTTTTAAGATATTGGCTAGACCTAGGTTCCATCCACTTTTCAAGTTATAATTCCCCAGGCAATCGCCAAGATGAGGAAATATTTCAAGATACTGGCAAAGACAACAGTATTAGATTTTCATCTGTATATGAAAGAATTGTATTTAGATCATAATAGAAATTTATTTCCTTGGGTGCAAGAAATAAGTAACTAAAATTGTACCATTTAGCTAATATAATCAATCACTTTAGAAAGATAGTGACAATTGAATCTAGGGTCTTGAGCAATTGGAATAGAATTAATAAAGCTAGGTACTGAAATCATTCCTCTCTATTATAACCTTAAAAGTTGATGAAAAAGAAGTCTCCTTCTTCTTTTTGAAAAGAACAGAGACACAGTACTCTGATAGGTAATCCATTAGGTGTTGAGAAATCTTAATGAAAAAGTTTACAAATTTGAGGTTGGAAGGTGTAAAAAAGTTGATTTGTAAATAATTTTTTTTTAGAAATCAGTAGTGCTTGATAAGACTAATTAAGAAATACCATTGTTTTTGTTGGTGATAAGCCTCACGATAGAATATAGTTCTTAGTGATATTCAAATTATGCCATAAATTTAAGTTAGTTAATCTCCAGATGTATCAAGTATTAACAAGGAAATTAATGTATATTGTTGACGTCTCTCTCGGCGAGTCTGTCGCTAATGGCAGTAGAAACTCGCATAACATCAGGTAGGTTTTTGGCTTTCTCTACTTGAGGTGTGTGATTTTGTTCAGCCGAGTTCTTTACTAATCACCTT